GTCAAAACATCCACCATCTCGTGCGCAAATATCCAATCCCTTTGCTATCACTATCAGCCCCCAAATAAATTCCTCTAAAATTACACACACACACAAACATAGATATATATATACTTCACATGTTCAACCACGATATTTTTAGTCCAAGAACAAAAAAATCAAATTATAAACTCTTAACAATAATTAGAAGTGTGTTTTGACATTCTTGAAAATATTTTTGAAAATAAAATAATTTCAAATTTATGCCAACAAAATTCATTTTATATTTTTCCGATTTCTTACTTAACAATCGTCACAATTTTTTAAGAGATGAAGAAGGATCTCAGGCTGGCTCTCAAAATTGTATATCATCATTTCAAACAATTTTGACAATTTTATTACTCTTTTTTACATTTTTTACATTTAGAGTTGGAATAGAGGCTGTTTCATTTCACCGTAGGTATTATGTAGCAAATCCAAACAAATAGAGTTCCTGTGACACCGGATTTATCAGTAAGTAATTAGTTTATATGCGCCCAATTTTTGCACTTTTCGACTGCACTGAGAATTATGGAGAACAACAGTTATTCTTATTGCTTTATTGAATTTTCTCATAATTGCCCATAATGAATTTTGCATTAGCTTTTTGTTCAGTTTGGAACATATCTAAGCTTTATGCTGTTTCATTTATTTCGATGACAATGTTTAATTTATACAGATTACCAATGGATTGAACAAAATTTAATTTGTTATTATAATTAATTGTTAGGTTACGGATGAAAAGAAACAACATTTTTTATGATTAGATAAAATTTAGTTAATTCAACAATTTTAAACTCTTTCAAAGTAGTTAACTAAGAGTTTCACAAATACGTGACAATTGTTCATATTTTATCTTGAATAAGCTTTGTTTTTTTTTATTTTCATGATTAGCGTCTACTAAATTCAAGATCCATTCATATTAAAATTTTCAAGGTTAGTAGATAATAGCACATGATTCATTAATACTTAATTTTTAAGATGATAATTAACAGTCAAAATTTATAATCACCTAATCTTTCACGTCTACCATCACATGCTGTAAATATAAAAAGATAAACTGTAAGTTTCATGCATATTAAAATAGGAAGCAACAACATAAAGTGAGAGAAGATGCTTGCCAAGAGAGTTCTACTTTTTAAAGAAAGAAGGTGCAGCTATTTTTTATTTTAACAAAAGAAGCTCTTAATCATAACAAGGAATGGTTTCATTGGAGCCTCTACAGTTTGAGAGAGTATTGTGTATAGAAACCGCATGCATGCAAACTTCATGTACAACATTATAACATTATTATACACTATTAAACAATATGTTGCAATAGTGTGCAACGCTTTACACGGAATCCATAGTCTGCATGCATATGGACTCTGTACCCTTCAATTGCAGAAAAAAATACAATTGAGAGGGAAAAAGACTAACTACAACAATAACACCTCTTCCATATTTAATGCTCATTTTAACAACAGGTGGATACATTCTCTAAGTCTCTATCTGGGGCAGCTGCAACTTATCAATAATCTTTTGATAAGCAACTGATCCAGATAAGCTGCTGATCAACAACTGATTCAGATAAGCTGTTGATCAGCAGCTGATCCAGATAAGTTGACTGGTTGTTTGGTTTGTGCGTTGGGAAAACAACTAATTTGCAAATTTTTTTGGATAAATGATCATTCTACTCCTGTACAATAGTGTTGTTTGTAACATAATTGTCATAGCGATACATTTGATATTTGAAAAGCAAAAAACCACTTCAGAACAGTAGGAAAAAAAAATATACACACCTCACATAATAGTGAATATCGAGTGTACTAGAAAAGGAAAAAAACTAGGCAGAAACCATGACAGCCACAACCCACCTCCCACCACAACTCCATCACAACCCAAAAAAAAAAAAAAACATATCCAAAAGAGCCCTTTCAACACAGGTAATCCCTCACATCCTTATCCCAAAAAAATGGCATTTGATCAAGCTACTAGAGCATAGTCTTTATTAATTGATTATGATGGGCAGAAAATATCATAATAGCTATGTGTATGGGGCAACATTAGATAATGTAGCATCAAAATGACAAGTCAGCTTGCATCAGCAACACCCAACCAAAGGCAACAGTAGAGAGAGACACACACATAAGAATTGTTGGAGAGCATCTAGTCCAAAATGCTGCAGTGAAATATTGTTCTTTGATAGCACATTAAAATGAGAGACAAACACATCATGCTTTTATAACTGCATTTGCCAATAAATATTATAAATTCAACATTTGAATTATTGTTTCCATTAAGCAGCAAAATTAAAGTCTAAAGAACATTCAAAACCAATTGTTCTCCAAGTTTCTTCATCAAACATTCTATTTATCAAAGAAACAATATGAAGAAAGCACTCTCAAGCATGAACTAGCCACCAACCACCAACACACACATTTAAGTCCAACACCCAAGTCCAGCATCTAACACCCAAACAAAAACAACAATCAAGAGAAAAAGCACAAAAAAGGAGAAAACCAAAAAATCACAAAAAAAAGCCATTGCTTCAAAATTCACCACAAGAAAGAGCATGATATTACTCACAAATCATTGCAAACTTCTCACAGCAAAGAAGAAAGCCAAATAAACACATAGAAAAGTCATTCCATCGAAAATCACCACAGGAAAAACAACGATATTACTTATAGAGCACCACAACCACAGATCACAAAGAGGAGGAGGAGGAGGAGGAGAAAGGCAACAAACGAGAGAGACGCGTGAGAGGGAGTCCTTGTCTAGCGATCGAAGCCACTAGATGAGGATAGAGGAGAGAATCGAAGAGGCACCTAGGGCACGGAAGGAGGGCAAGCGCGACTGGAGGGCGGAGAGGTAAGAAAATTCCTCCAAAACAGGGTCGCGGGTCACACCCACAGCCGGCGTTTACTACAAAATAAATCCCGCGTATCGCAAAACGCACCGAAGATGGAGAAAACAAACAACATGGTAGTGTTTTGAAAACACAGACACGACGGATAAGTTGTGCCAAACAGACCCTAAGTCATACAAGATGGTATCTAAATTTATGTTTCCAACTTCGTATAAATTGTAATTATATATATATATATAAAAACTTAGTGGATTATTAGATTTCTGTACAGCCATGACACTAAGCTGAATTATTAGATCTATAGGCAGCTGTGAACATAAACTTACTTTATTTTATAAATTCATCATACTACACTAGAGTTGAAGTGCTCTTTCCTAACATACTTCACATAGCCCGACTTTATTCATTTCAAAATTGCAAATTCAATCCCAATAACACCATGTGACAGAAGGTGCTCAAACTCATCAAGAGAGATGCAGCCACCCAATTTCAAACTCATACAAATAACTAGAACAAACAGTTATTTGCAATTAGTCGCATGTTTGATAGGAAAAAAGTGCTCAGATTACCTCATTTTATTAGTTAGCCATCAAACCTCATAAAACCTTAGCCTCCATGCATACGAACAATAAAAAAATACACCAAAGTATTCATCAACATTTTAGTTGCAGTTAAACACAGAAGAAACTTTCAGAGCCAAAAAAAAAAAAAAAAAAAACAAAAAATAATCATCATTAAGAATAATACCATGGTAAGAATAAAAAAGGGTGCAAAAGTAGATATGAGCTAAGAATTTATTTGGTTGACTGAATATATAAAATATGGTCGAAAGAAAAGTGAATGTGGAAGATTCATCATTTGGTTGGATGTTGTTAAAAGCAACTTTAATTTTAGAAAAATGCAAACTCCCTGAAATGCTCTCAAATTTGACGACTTTATTGTCGCATACAATGATTGAAAACAATTAGCAGACACAGGCCTAAATAAACATAGCTGCTAGATGCTGGAGTGACCAATAATTATTTCAAAAAGGAAGATTTGCATAAATAGCACTCAATTCATATGTATTTACATATTTAACATCTAATGTCAATTTTACTTACCATATCACCTTACCTATGCATTAAAAGGAGTATTTCATTTTTTAGATGTTAAAATAGTGGTATTTTCTAAGTGATATGAAAGATTTGGACTGTATAAATATAAAAGTTAAGGTGCATTATAAATGGTGCATTGATCAGAACATGCTCGAATATGTGCTGAGATGTGAGTGTAATTGCGTTTTAGAGCTAAATTCCAGTATTGGTTTGGCAGAAAGGAAATGAAAGATTCTTATTTTGGAATAACCTTTGTAACTTTAAGAACATTCAAATCAGATTTTCTTTCTACATAAAGTTTTTTTCAGAAAGCTCGAGTGAGAAAGCACAATTTTGATGTAGGAAGGATTTGATCCAAGTATATACCAACTAAATTAGGTTACATAAAATAATAATATAATCAGAGGTCTAACAATAATGAAAAAGGAACACATTAATGGCATGACGATAAAAATAAAATTCAATGAGATTCAAAAAAATACTAAGTACTGAGTTCACGAAAAATGAGCACACAGAAAAACTTCCAAAATTAAACCACAACTTCAACTCTCTCTCTCTCTCTCTCTTTAAATATACAATATGTAGCAGGAATTGGAAATCTCAAAACATATTCTTTAATCTTTATTCCTAAATTGACCAAGTATAGAAATATTAGGTCTCTATTGATGTTGTTAATGCCAAAATTCAAAAGAAGCTGCTAAGCTTTGGTTTAACCAAAATCCATAGAAATAATGACTGCCTATTTCATTGCTTAATGGGTCATTGCAATGTAAAATCCATCATGCAAAGACTGGAATGAGTATTTCCTATAATTAAATTTTGAAATATTTTGCATATCTAACACACAAACTTTACTTTTTTACCTTTATACTACAAATATTTCAACAGCTAAGAACGCAAAGTAACCCTCAAAATTAAATGAAGATGATGCATTATGGTGCAACAGTACAGCTTTTGATAAAAACAGATGCCCAAATTCATGACACTATCTGAAACTAGGAATAAATCACCAGAATTCAACTTGAGCAAGAAACTATATTCTCTTTTCTTATAGCAATTCAGAATCATGTAATAAGTATTTTTACAACTTACCCATTTTATCACGCAGGAGCAGAGATTACAGTGATCCCTCTACAGTTCCTTCCGTAGTTACAACCATCGCCAGATCGACATAGAAAGAGGGCTTCCGAAATCTGCAATCTCTGCATCAAGAACACAACAAAAACTCGCTCAATCGGAACAAGACAAGTACTCGAACTCATCCTCCCTAAGATGCACAACGAACTTGACCGGCTTCTCCTGCCCCTCGAGGGAAACAAAGAACTCCACCTTGAAGGGGAAATTGGCTGACAGACGCTTCCCCTTCCAAACTCCAACGTACTGCTTGATCACTCCCTCCATCCCGCATAAATCCAGTTCCGGTACCTTCATCACGTGATATACCTTGATCGGCGCCGTCACGCGAATCTTGGCACCAATCTTAGCGGCGGCCTCGGCTTCTTCCTCGGCGATCGCATCTGGCGAAGAGGAAGAGACGTCAGTTGCGATGGCGACCTGACATGAGAGGCTCCTCCGTGCTGCGGGCATGGCTGCAGGAGCCAGGAGCCATGAAGGCCTCGGCGTCGCTGCTAGTAGGGCTGCGGGACGCCGGAAAAGAGATCCCGAGAGGGCTGAGGTGGAAGCGGTGGACGCTGTAATTGGCATTATGGTAAGCGCTGAGGAGGCACTGGTTCTGATCTTAATTGCGTCTTCCCGCTTCGAAGTTTCTACTGAATTGTGAGGTGAGAGGAAGGGAGAGGAAGAGCAGCAGGGGGGATTTCTTATGTGGTGCATTTCGCCGAACACCTAACGTGTGGGTGAGGTGAAGTTGCTGAAGTGGATAAGGGCTGGTGAAAGCGGTAAACAAGTGGCGTCAGTTCTGGAGCATCTTAGCCATTCGTAGCCGAAGCAGGCGAATGCGACGAGTGCGGGGAAAGATTTGCTTGCGGGGATTGGCTGCGCTCGTCCAGCTAAAGCCCACGTGGACAGCAAAAGCCAAAGAGGACTCTGTCAAGTCTTTCATTGAACAAACATCATGATAACTTATTTTGAATGGCGTACATAATTCCATTCGATTCTGTCATGATATAAAATCAATCAAAATTTCTCTATTGAATTTAAGTTTCTTTATTTTATTTTACATGATGACAAATTTTATTAATAAAAAGATTATATTTGATCTAGGGTTTCTATATTCCAACAGAGTTTCTCAAGGGAGACATAGTAGCCTAGTTTATTATACTAGGATGATCAAACCCATGGACTCATTTGATCTAGGGTTTCTATATTTCAAATCAGACAACTAACTTGGCTACATAATTATATACTCAGACATTACCTTCAAGGCATAGTAGTCCTAAACAAAGAAATACAACCTCAGCTAGATTTTAAGCAATCATATTTTCATTTTGAAATCATAAAATTACTATAAATTTATCCAGAGAGAAAAATAATAATATAATGTGGTTCAAGTTCGATTGAACTCTACATTTTTACGTGAAACCACGATTAACATCTCTTTATCAAGAAGCTGTGAAGAACAAATATAATGATATTATATTTTAATTTTAGAATAAATTTAACATTATACAAGACTTGCATAAATGAAGAAAGTTGTTAATTTATATACATCATGAGAAGAAATGATAGATTAGATTCCAAGAAGCCATCAGTCTCTTTAGGATAGTTTAAAGAGTATATTAGTAGTTTAGGCATCAATGCTAACATAATACTAGAATATTTTTATGCATCCAAAACTATGACAACCATATTGATATTATTCTCAACTCATAATGAAACCCCTTGCACAGGGTTTCTCTTCGATGGATCCATCTAACTCAAGAGTCACACAACAAAAGTCCTCTCTCAAACCTCGAAAACTAGAGAGACCTAAAAAGCTTTTCGATGACTTTCCCTTCTTTTGTTTCTCATGGGATATAAATATTAGACCATATGAAGCCTTCTAACAAAAAAACTAACAAATTAATCAATATATATGTGAGGAGAAATAAAAAATGAATTATAAAGTAAAGCTTAATTTAAAAGAATAAATTTACTTTGAAGCCATTAATAAAACAAGTAGTAACGATTAATTACTTATAGTTTAATATGGAATAAGCAAACTTTATTGAATATACATACATACATATATATATATATATATATATATATATCAGAGAAAAATAATAATATAATGTGGTTCAAGTTCGATTGAACTCTACATTTTTACGTGAAACCACGATTAACATCTCTTTATCAAGAAGCTGTGAAGAACAAATATAATGATATTATATTTTAATTTTAGAATAAATTTAACATTATACAAGACTTGCATAAATGAAGAAAGTTGTTAATTTATATACATCATGAGAAGAAATGATAGATTAGATTCCAAGAAGCCATCAGTCTCTTGTAGATAGTTTAAAGAGTATATTAGTAGTTTAGGCATCAATGCTAACATAATACTAGAATATTTTTATGCATCCAAAACTATGACAACCGTATTGACTTTATTCTCAACTCATAATGAAACCCCTTGCACAGGGTTTCTCTTTGATGGATCCATCTAACTCAAGAGTCACACAACAAAAGTCCTCTCTCAAACCTCGAAAACTAGAGAGACCTAAAAAGCTTTTCGATGACTTTCCCTTCTTTTGTTTCTCATGGGATATAAATATTAGACCATATGAAGCCTTCTAACAAAAAAACTAACAAATTAATCAATATATATGCGAGGAGAAATAAAAAATGAATTATAAAGTAAAGCTTAATTTAAAAGAATAAATTTACTTTGAAGCCATTAATAAAACAAGTAGTAACGATTAATTACTTATAGTTTAATATGGAATAAGCAAACTTTATTGAATATACATACATACATACATATATATATATATATATATATATC